CAGAAAAAATAAACCAGTTTTATTTAAGAAAGGACTTGTATCGGTAAAGTTTCTTCGGAAAGAATTTTTACAGAAAATTAACTAACAAACGGAGGCGTAACAATATTGTGCTATGTAATGATTTAATGAATAAAGTTGTCAGATCTTTGTGGTCTATAATATACAGTAGCACGAGTCTTGTCATTGGCCTTAAACAGCTAAATATCTTAGCATTGGTCCTAAAACATCTAAATATATTTAACAACATAAAAATTGGAATAGGGGATTTATAAAGAATTTGCTTTATCCGTTCGACATGGACAAAAAAGTGTTTTCAAAAGTGGAAGTCGTTGAGTAGATTATGAATGAGACATTGTGAAGTTTATCATAATTTTAAAGTTAACAAAGTTAAGTACACTATAAAAGGTAGAATGATTTAATCAAGTTTTGGAAAATCGAATTCCATGAATTCTCAATGCTGTCATATTAATATTTACATTTATAATTATTTTTTGTGTATTTGCTTCTCTGGTATTACAATCGTTAAGATCATTTAATTGACCCTTAACCTATGATTTATAAATGTGTACTACAAAGAACAACAAAGCCATTTATATATTTATTGAAAGATTGTTAATTAACATAATTTCTTTGTAAATTAAACTAATTGACAGATTTTCTATTATAAGATGACTATTCATTGGAAAAAAATCGAACAAATTTGCCATTTTATAACAAAGTAAACATTCTGCATTATGCATCTTTCTTAGTTACTATTGTTGGTCTCAAATAAAGAATTCATAATTTGAAAGTGCATGGATTTCTGTTTTCTTGGCTGAAATCTAGTAAATTTATTCAGCAGCTTGATACTAACAAGAGGAGTTATGTAGAGAAGGCCAATCTTAAAACACCTATTTTGTACTAGCAATAGATTGTACGAATTCAAAATCCAGAGATAGGTGACATTTTCTTTCAACGAACTTTACTGTTACAAATACTATTTGACTTACCATTCAAAAATTTAGTGAAAATGTTTTATTAATTCAAACAATTAGTGTTGAAGTAAAACTCCTATAGCTGATGGATGAGCAAGGAATTGTTGCTCAGTTTATTATTTCTGTCCTTCTTTTCATTCAGTTTGATGCGAAAGTTCAAGAAAACATATTTCATTACGTTTTCTTGTTTTCGTTTGTTGTATCATTATATTTGTAATTGTGCGCATATGTTTCTGCAGAAAGATTACAGTTGCCTTTGAGTTTATTTTGTTGAAGTAATAAGTTTCTTTTCCATGCCTAGTTTTTATGGTAGATGACATACATATGAAGATCTTGTTTCTTCTTTAGATACAAACGTAGTGCATCGAGTAAATCTCTTTGATTATGGATTATTACGTGTTGGCGTTCTTAGATTAAGTTTCAACATGAAATTGTGGGGGTGGATAGTAGGTTTCTTGGTTATGCATTACTCTGTGCAGAAGTTGTTAGTTTACGTTTTCGCATTCAGTTGTGAAATTAGATGGTAGGTTTCATTCAATATATGGTTTTTTGTTGAGGTTCTTAGTTTTGTTTACAATATACGATTGTGAGATTAAATTGGTGATTTCTGTTTCCTCAATGTGATATTT